TTGCTCTGGCGCCTGTCCCCTTCCCGGCGGCCTGTTCCGTCCCGGCTTCCTCTCGTCCTGTTCGCGGGGTCGCTCCGCTCCTTCCTGTCGCTGTCTCTTTGCCGGGCTGTCCCCCTCCCCCGGCCGCCCTTCTCGCTGCTCTCCCCCCCTTCGTCCGCCCTCTCTCCCGCCCTCTCTCCCGCTCGCCTGCCGTCTCCCCGCGCGCCTCGGTGTTTTCCTCCCCTCCCCCGTTTCGTGTTGGCCGCCGTCTTCCTCCTGGCCTTCTGCTCCCCGCTTCCTTTCTCCCCCCCCTCTCCTTCCTCGCTCCCTCCTGCCCCGGCCCCGCTTTTCCCCTCCCCCTTCCGTCTCTTCCCCCGCCTTCGTGCCTTCGGCCGGCTTCTTTGGTCCCCCTCCCCCTCGCCGGTCCCTCTTCCTCCCTTTCCTCGCCCCTGTGCCCTCCTTCTCCCCTCCCCCTGCCGGCGCGCTCCCCCGCTGCCGCGTTTTTTGTCTGTTTGGCTCGTCCCGCCTGGGCTCCTTCCTCGCTCTTTGGGCTTTGCTTCCCCGGCCTCGCGCCTTTCCCCCTCCGCCCGCGGCTTGGCCTTCCGTTGCTGTCCTTTTCTCTGTCTCTGGTTCCCCTTCTCTCCGCTCTCCCTGTGCCTCTGCTGTCCCCCTGGCGGCCTGTTCGCTCGTGTGTCTCCTCTTCCGCGCCTCGCGTCTGGTGTTCCGCGCCTCGCCTCTGGTGCCTCCCCCCCGGCCGCGGTCTGCCTCCCCGTCTTTGCCTCCCGGCCGCCTTCTCGCCTTCCCTCTGTTTTCTGGCTTTGGCCCCGTGCGGCTTTTCCCGCCCGCGCGTCTTCTGCTCTGTTGGGCCTTTCTTCTGCTCCTCCTCCGCGCTTGCCCCGTCTCTTCCTGCCTGCCCGTTGGCTCGGCTGGCCTTTCCGTCCGGCTTCCGTTGCCCCCCCTTTTTCTGCCCTCCCCGCCGCTCCTTGCCTGCTCCGCCCCTCCTTTCGCCTTCGCTCCTTCTTCCGCTCTTTCCGCCTTTTCCGTTCTGCTCTCGCTTCCCCCGGTCTCCTTTCGGGCCTTCTTGCTCGGCTCGGCTCCCCCCCCGGCTTCCTTGGCCTTCTCCCCTTTCTTTGGCCGCTCCTTCGTTCGCCTGCGCCCCCCCCTCGGCTGCCCCCCCCGCGTTCTGCCTCCGGCCCTTTGTCCTGCGCCCCTTCCTTCGCCGGGTTCGCGCCCGTCCTGTCGGGGGCCTGCCGCCCTCCCCTCTGCCGGCCCCTCCCCCCCCGCCCGGTCCCGGCTTCTCCCTTTCTTTGTTCTTTGTGGCCTCTTTCTCTCTTTCCCCCCCCGGCTTCCCCCTTTGCGCTTTTCCCCCCCCCTTCTTCCCCTTTCGCCTCGCCTCTCTCTGCCTCTGCTGTCTTCCCCTTGCCCGCGCCGCCCCGCCCCCCGCGGCGTCTCGCCTCTTCCTCCCCTTTCCCCCTCTCTCCCCCGGCTGGGGTCTCTCTCGCCGCCCGGCTCTGTCTTTGCTTCCCCGCCTCTGTCTGTCGCTTCCTCTCCCTTGCTTTCGCCCGCTTCTCGCGCCGCGCGCCTCCTCCCCTTCCTCCTGTGCCCGGCCCCCGCTTTGCCCTGGTGCCCCGCGGCTTTTCCGTCCTCTGCTCTCCCCGCTGCGCTCTCCCGCCCCTTCCCCCCGTCGCCTCCTCCTTTTCTTCGCTGCTGGGGTCTCTGTCCCTTCCCCGCCCCCCCGCGGCTTCCCCCGTTTTCTCCCCGTCCCGGCCTTTCTTCGCTCTTCCCCCGCTGCCTTTGTCCGTTTCCGTCTGCGTCCTTCTCTTGCTTGTGCCTCCTTCCCCTGGGGCTTCCTTGCTCCCCCTCCCCGCTGGTCCTTTGTCCGTGTCTCCCCTCTCCCTCCCCCGGCGTGTGCTCCGCCCCCGCCCTTTCCGCTCCGCTCCCTTTGTCCCCGCCTCGCGTGCCTGCGCCCGCTCCGGCCTTTTGCCCCGCCCCTGCGCCTGCCCCCCCGGCTGGGCTCCCCCGTTGGGGCGTCCCCTCGGCTTTTGGGGCTCGCGGGCCTTGCCCCCTCCCGCTTTTTCCCGTCGCCGGCTTTTCCTCTTCCTCGCCCTTTCCTTGTTGCCGGTCTTGCCCTGTCGCCCCGGCCTCTCTCTTTCTTCTCGTCCGCTTCCTCCGTTCGTCCCCCGCTCTCTCCGCCTCTCCTCTGGCGTGCCTGCTTTCCTCCCTTCCCTGCTTCTTCCCTTCTTTCTTCCCTCCCGCGCCCTCCCTTTGTTCGCCCCGCTTCCCTTGCGTCTCTGCCCCTCTCCTTTTTTTCTGCCCTTTTGTTTGTTTTCGGCCCCCCGGCTTTGGCTCCGGCTTGCCCCTTTTTTTCCTTCCCGGGTTTCTCTGCCTTTGCCCGTTCTCCCTTCGTCCGTTTCCCTCCCCCGGCTCCCTCCCCTTCCGTCCGTCGCGTCTCCCGCTTTCGCCCTCTCCCCCTTTCTTTTTGTTTTGCGCTGCCGCTCTCGTTGTGCTGTCTCCTTCCCTCTTTTCTTTCTTTCCTTTCTCCTCGCCCCCTTCCCTTCCTTCGCTCCTGCTTCCTCTCTCCCCCCCGCGTTTTCTCCTCTTTGCTTTCTTCCCTCCTCTCGGCCCGGCGCTTCTCGGCCCCGGCGCTGCGTTTTTGGTCTCCCCTGCTTTTCTCTTTTCTGTCTCCGCCCTTCCCTCTCGCTGCCTCTCTCCCCCCCTCCTCTCGCCCTCTCGCTCTCTGTCTCTCTTTCTGTCCTTTTTCCCCTCCCTTTGCCCTCCTCGCCCGGTCGCTTCTTTTTTTTTTGTCTTCCCTCCTTTCCGCCGCCCCGTCCGCCTCCCCGCGCCGGCCTGTCTTCTTCGTTCTCCCTCCTCCTCGCCGTCCCCCCCCCTTGGCCCTCCCTCTCGCCTGCCCCCTCTCTCTTCTCTCGCTCTCGCCTCCCCTCCCTCTCTCTCCTTCCCTCCTTCCCCCCCCCCCGCCCTGTCCCCCCTGCTTTCCCCTCTCCGGTGCCTTCCGCCCCCTGCCCCTCCCCTTTGCCTCGCTCCCCCCTCTCCCTCTCCGTTCCTCTTTCCTCTCCCTCTCTCCTCCTTCTTCCGCTCCTCCGCCTCTTCCGCTTCTCCTTCTGCTCCCGCCCTCGCCCTCCTCTCTGCCTCCTTCTGTTTTCGCCTCCCCCTCTCCTTTTGCCCGTCTCCTTCTCTCTTCCTCTCGTTTCGGCCTCGCTCCGCCTCCGCCCTCTTCCGCCCTCTCTCCCCTCTCTCGTTCCTCCCCCCGCTTCCCCCGGTTTCTTGCTCTTGCCTTCCTCTGCCTCTCCCTTTCTGTGCTGGGGGCCCGCTTCGCTCCGGGGTTCGCGCCTCGCCTTTGTCCTGCGCTGGTCCTCGGTTCGCTTCCGCTCGCTGGCTTTTCCTTTTTGCTTCCCTTTTTTCCCTGCTTGCTCCTGTCCCTTTGCCTTGCCCTCCCCGCCTCTTGCCCTCGTGTCCCTTTCTTCCGTTTCGGTTCTCGGCCCTTCCCCCTCTCTCCGGCCCCGGCTTCCTTTTTTTCCCTCGCCCCTCGCTCCTCGCCCCTCTCTCCTCTCCGGGTCTTTCTCCCCTTCCTTTCCTTCTCTTTCTCGTCCCCTCCTTCCGTCCCCTTTGTTTCCTTTCTCCTCTCGTTCCGTTTCGGTTTCGTCTGGCCCCCCGCCTTCCCTCCCCCCTTCCCTTGCCCCTGCCCTCCCTCCCCGCTCCGCCTTCCTTCTCCGCTCCCTCGGCCCTTCCGTCCCTTCCCTTCCGTCCGTCCCTCCCCGCCCTCGTCCCTCGTCCCTCCTCCCTCCGCCTCTCCGCCTTCCGGCGTCTTTCTGTCGCGTTCCCGCGGCCCTCGTTTCCCCCCCCTCCGTCGCCTGGGGCTTTCCCCGGCCTCCCTCCTCCCGGCCTCGGGCTGCCCGTGCTCTTCGCCCCCCTCGCGTTCCGGGCCCCCTCTCCCTCTTGTCTTCGCCTCGCCGCCCCCCCCCTTGCGTTTTCCTTCTGGTCTTCCCGCCCGCCCGTTCCTTCCCTCCGTTCGGCTTGCCCGCCCGCCCCGGGGTCCCCCGGTCCCGTTTTCCTCCCCTTCCTTGCCCTGCGTTTGGCTCCCCTCCTTTTTCGCTTGGGTCTGGCTTCGCCTCTTCCTGCCGCCCGTCCCTTCGTGCCTCCTCGCCCTCTTTTCGTGCCTGGTCGTCTCGTCGCTCTCCCGCGTTCTCGCTGCCCCCCCCGCGCTCTTCTTCCGTCGCCGGCTCCCCCCCCTCCCGCGCTCTGCTTCCCCCTTCTCTCGCGTCCTCCCCTCCTGCGGCCTTGCCCCCCCTTTGGCCCTTGCCCCCTCCCCCTCTTCTCCCGGCTTCGTCCCTCCCCTCCTCGCTCCTCCTGGGTCGGTTTGCCCCTCCCTGCCTTTCTCGTCCTCGCCTCTTCTTCTCGTCCGCCTCCCTCCCCGCCCCGCGGTTCCTCCCCTTTTTCCGTCCCGTCCTCCCGTCCCTGCCCCTCCGGTTCCGTCCGCTCCGGTTTGCTCCGGCTTCTCTTTCCTCTCTGTCTCCTCGCCCCCCGGTCTCTTTTCCTTCCTTGTCGCCTCTTCCCGTCTTTTGGTTTTTTCTGGTCTTTTCTTTTCCGTTTCCGCGTCCCCGCCCTTCGGCCTTGCTGCTCTCTCTCCCCCCCCCTCCGGCCCTCGCTGTTGGCCTCCTTGTCTCCCTTGCTCTGCTTTGCTCCCTTGGTGCTCGTCCCCTCGGTGCCTTCCCTGCCGGTCCGGCCCGCGCGGGCTTCGCCCCCTCGGTCCCCCCCGCCTCCCTCGCCGTTCCCCTGCTCCGCCTTGCCCCCCTCGGCCCTCTCTCCTCCCTCCTTCTTCTGCCCCCCCCCCCGCGTGCTTCGCGCGTCTTTTCTCTTCCTGCTTCTTGGCTCGGTCCGCCCCCTCCCTTTGCCCTTTCCCTGCCCCTTTTTTCTCCCCGTCCCCGCCCCGCCCGCTTTTTCTTTCCGTTGCGGTTGGGGGCGCCCCTTTTTCCCGCCCTTGTTTTTTCCCCCTTCGCCTCCTCTTTGCCCCCCCCGGTTCTCTTCCCTTTCCTGGTCTTTTGCTCCCGGCTTCCCTCCCTGCCTTCGCCCGCCTCCCCTGCTCGCTGCTCTCTCTTTTTTCTCCTTTCTCTTTTTTCTCCTTTCTCCTCTCGTGCCTGGCTCCTCTTCCCTCCGCCTTCTCCTTCTCTTCGCTCCTCTGCTTCCCTCCCCCCCCCTTCTCCCCTTCCCCTTTTCGCGTTTTCCCCCCCCCCCCCTTCTTCCTCGCTTTGCCTCCCCTTCCCCGCCCCCTTTTTCTCTTTGCTTGTCGCTTTCTCTTTGCTTGTCGCGTGTCTCCCTGTTCTGTCTCCCCCTTGGCCGTTCGTCTCTTTTCCTCCTCGCCCGCTTCTTCTCTCTTTTTTCTCCTTTGTGTCCGCCTTCCCTCCCCCTTTCTCGCGTTCTTCTCCCCCGTCCTTTCTCGGCCTCGTTCCTCTCCTCCTCCCTTCCTTCTCCCCTTGCCCTCTTCGCTTCCTGCCCCCCCGCCCCGTTGGCCTCTGGCCTCCCCGGTTCCTCTTTCTGCCCCTCTGTTTTCTGTTCTTTCGTCCTCTCCCCTTCTTTTCTTTGTGGGCTCTTTTTCCCCCGCGCGGTCTGCGCCCCCTGCTCGCCTGGTCTGCCGCGCTCGCGGCTCCCTGGCCCTTTTCTTGCTCCGCCCTTTTCCCTTGTCGCCCCTCTCTTCTTCCGCCTCCTTCCGCCCCCTTCCGGCGCCCCCGCGGCCTTTCCCTCTTCCCGCGCTGGTGCGCTTTGCTTCTTGGTTTTTTCTTTCTTTCTTTCCTCTTTCGTCCTTTCTCTCCGTCTTCCGCGCCCGCCCCGCCCCGTTCTTGTTCTTGCCCCCCTCTCCGCTTCTTGCCGGTGCCGTTTGGCCCTCGCCCCCTTCCTTCTGTCGTGTCTCCTCGCTTCCTGTCCCTCCCCTGCTCTGTTTCGTTTCTCGCTTCTCGTCTTGCGCGGCCGGTTCCCCCTCGCGGTTCCCCGGGTCCCTCCTCTTGTCTTCGTGCCCCTCCGCCGCCTCGGGGCCGCCTCCCTCCCCCTCGGCCTCCCCCCCCGCCCCCTTTGTTCTCCCTTCCCCTCTCCTTCTCGGGCTCGGGCTTGCCCGCCTGGTTGGGCCCCCCCGCCTCCCTCTCGTTCGTCCTGTGGCTCCCTGTCTCCCCCTCGCCGGCTGTTGCCGTGCCTCCTTCCCGGCCCTTCGGCGGCGTTGCCCCCCCGCCCTTGTTGCGGTTTTCTTCTCCTTTCTCTCTCCTCTCCCCCGGTTTGCTGTTCCGCCCCGCTCTCTTGCCGGCCGGTTGGCTCGCGCTTTCTTGTCCCCCCCTCGCCCCGCTCCGTTCCTCCTGCGCCTCTTTTGCTCTTTTTGCTTCCCTGCCTTCTTCTCCTTCTGCCCCTCCGGCGGCGCCGTCTGCGGTGCCCCTCTCCTGTCCGGTTCTGGCCCGGCGCTTCTTTTCCTTGCCTCCCGCCCGTCCCGGCTGTCGGCTCCCTCCGCCGGCCCTTCTGCGGCCGCTTTCCCGCCTTCTTCTGCCGCTCTGCGCTTCGCCCTTGCTCCCTCTGCTCGCCGTTCTCTCCTCTCTCCTCTCGGTCTTCTCCCCCCCCGTCCTGGCGCCCCTCCGCCCGCTTTGGCCTCTTCTTTTCGCGCCCTCGCCCGCCTCCCTTCTTCCCCCCCGCTTGTCCTCCTCTGGCCGTGCTCTGTCCTTCCGTGCGCCTCTCCCCCTCTCGCCCGCCCCCCGCCCGCCCCTCTCGTCCCTCCTCGCCCCCGCCGCGGCTTTCTCCCTCTGCCTCGTCTCCCCCCCGCTTTTTCTCCGCTGTCGCCCCGCGCGCCCGTCCTCGCCGTCCCGGCCGCCGCCTCGCCCTTTTTCTCTGGCTCCGGCTCCCCGGGGTCTCCTTGCTCGCCTCTCGCGGCCGCCCCGTCCCGCTGCCCTTGCGCGGTTTTGGGGCCCCTCCCCTCCTCCCTGCGTCCGTCTGTCCTGCTCCTGCTCGGCGCCCCCCTCTCTCCTGCTGTGCGCTCCCCTTCGGCCTCCCCTTCTGTCCTCGCGTCGGTCCCCTCCCGTCTTGCGCCGCGGTGTCGGCTCCGCTCCCCCCGCTCGTCCGTCTTTTCTTCTGCCGGCCCTTCTTTTTCCCCGCTTCTCTCTCCCTTTCTCTCTGCCCCGCGCTCGTTCCCTTTCCGCCCCTTCTCCCGCTCGGGGCCCTGCCTCTGTTTGTTTTCTTCTTCTGCCGGTGGGCCCCCGCTCCCCCCCGCTGCCCCGGCTTCTTCCTCCCCCTTTCCGTTTGCCCCTCGTGTCCTTGCCTTCTTTTGGTTCCCCCGCCCCCTGCGCTCGCTCCCTGCGGCCTCTTCTTCGCTTTCCTTCGCTCTGGTCGCTGCCCCCGGGCCCCCCCCGCGTTGGCTGCTGCGCCGTCTGCGGTCGGCCCCTCTCCCGTCCGGTTCTCCGGGCCGGCCTTGCCCTCCCTCTTCCGCCCGGGGCGCCCGGCCCTTCCCCCGGCGCTTCTGCCCTTGCGGCGCCTTGGTTCGCTCCCGCCGCTGCGTCTTGGCCCCCGGCTCTCGCGCTTCCTCCCGGTCCTTCTCTTGCCGCGCCTCCTTGGTTGCCGCTCCCGGGGCGTTTCGCCTCCCCGCGTGCCTTTTTTCTTCTTCTTTCTTCTTCTTTTCTTCTTCTTTCGCCTTTTCTTTTCGCTTCTTTTTGTTTGCCTTCCTTCTCTTTCCTGCCTTGTTTGTTCCCTTTTTTGTTCGCTCTGTTCCCCCCCCTGGCTCCTTCCTTTTCTTTTGGCCGCCCTTCTCCCCTCCTTTCCTTCTCTGCTTTCCTCCGCGTTCTCTTTCCTCTGGTCTTTTGTCCGCCTCCCCTCGCCCGCTCGCGTCCCCCCTCCCTCTCCTTCTTTCTTTTTCTTTCCTCCCCGCCCGCCGTCTTCGTCTTCCCCCTCCTCGTCCTCCCGCCCCTTCGCCTGCCTCTCTCTCCGGGCCTGGCTCTTCGTCCTGGTTGCTCGCCTGCTTTCGCCTCGGGGCGCTTTTGCCTCGGTTCGGTCCTCGGGTCCTTCCTCTCTTCTCTGTCCCCGCTGCCCCGGCCCCCTCTCCGCGCTTCTCCTTGCGCTCTGCCTCGGCCCTCCGTTGCCCCCCCCGCCGTTTTTGGCTCCCTGCCCCGCCCCCGGGGTTTTTCTCCGCTGCCCCCGGTCCGTTGCGCGCCTCCCGTCTCTGTCCTCCTCGCTTCGCCCCCTTGCCCGGGCTCGCCTTCTCGCTCCTCCTTGCTCTCGTCCCTCCCTCTCCCTCCCTCCGCCCCTCGCTCGCTGGGCGCCCCCGCGCCCCCCCGCCTTCTCGCCCCTCTCCCCCCGGTTCCCTCCTGCCTGTTGGCGGGTTTCTTTGTCTGTGTTGTCCGGCCCGCGGCGGCCTCCCTGCTTCTTCGTTCGCCCGGCCCCCGCCGTCCCCTTTTGGTCGCTCGGGCTCCCGTCCCCCCTCTTTCGCGGCCTGGGCCCCCCGGGCCCTTTCTCCCGCCCCTCGCCCCCGGCCCCGCTCCTCCCCCTTGGCTCTGGCCCCTCCCTGCTGCTGCTCCCGCTTTCGCTCGCCCTCCTCGTGCTTTGGCGGCGCTCTCCCGCCCGTCTTTCGTGCCCCTTTCGGGCCCCTCTCCCTCCTCTTTCTTTGGCTGCGCGGCCTGTCTTTCCCCGGTGCTCGTTTTTTCCCCTTCTGCCGCGTGGCTCCGTGCTCCCCCTCCCCTTGGGCCTCGTGCCCCGGTGGTTTGGCCCTCGTGGGCCCCGCCCTCTTGCCTGGTGCTGTGGGCGGGGGTTTCCGCGGCCTCCCCTCCCCTCTGGTTTTTTTCCGCTGTGGCGCGCGTCTGGCCTCCCTCGTGCCTTCCCCCTCTCTTGTCCCGCCCTTGGTGCCTTGGTCTTTGCCGCGTTCCTGCTTTTTGCTGGTTGGTTTCCTTCTCCTCCCGCGGCTCCCCCCTTGGCTTGGTTTCCCGCTGTCGCCTCTCTGTTGCCTCCCCCTTTGGCGGGTCTCCTCGGCCTTGGGTCTCTCGCTTGGGCGGGGCCTCCCGTCCCTGTCTCTTTCCCGCTTCCCCCCTTTCTCCCCGCTGGCGTCGCTCCTCCCGCGCTCCCCCTTCCTCCTGCCTTTCTCTTGCCTCGCGCTCTTCTGGCTCCCCTTTCTCCCCGTTTTGCCGCGGGCGCCCCCCCCTTTTTCCCCTTGCCTTGGTCCCCCTCTGCCGCCTTTCTTCCGTTTCGTGGGGGCTTCGCTCCCGTCCCTGGGGGTCTGTGGCTGCCCGCTCTTGCCCCCCCTCCTTTCGCTCTTGCCCTTCTTTTCCTGCTCGCGGGTCCCCTGTCTCGGCCCCCCTGGGGCCTTGGTCCTGGCCTCCCCGCCCTTTTCGCCGCTCCTCCGGGTCCCTTTCCGGGTCCGGGCCCTCCCGGCCTCTCTGCGCTCCTCCCCCGTCCTGGCCTGCTCCCTTCTCTCTTCCCCTCGCCCTGTTCGGCTCTTTCCCCCTTCTTGTCGCTCCCCCTCTGTCTTCCCTGCCCCCTTCTCCCTCTCTGGCTCCTGCCTCTGGTCCCCCCCTGTCCTTCTTCCCCCTCCCCTGTGGCTTGGTGGCTTTCTTCTCGTTGGTGCTGCTGCGCCTGCCGCCCTTTTTCTGGTCCGCGCCTCTGCTCCCCCTCCTCGCTCCCCCGCTCTCTTGGCTCGTGTCCTTCGCCCTCGTGCTGCCCTCCTCTCCCCTCTCCCCTGGGCCTGTCTCTTTCTCGGCTTTCCCCGTTTTGGTTTGTCTCTTCCTCCTGCTCCCCTGCGCGCTTTCGGGCGTCCTCCCGCTCTGTTTTCCGCTCCCGCTCTCCCCTTCCCCCCCGTTTTTGCTCCCTGGCTCCCCCCCCCCCTGCTTTCGCCCCCGGTGCCCCCGCTCCTGGTGCCCCCGCCCGCCCCCGTTTCCCTTGGGGGGGTGGTGCTTTTGTCGCCGTGGGTGGCCCCGTCGCTTTGGTGCCTCTTCCCTTCGGCCCCGCCGCTTTCTTGGTCCCTCCCCTTCCTGCCTTTCCGCTTCCTGTGCCGGTCTTGCTCCTCTTGCCCGGTGTTCTCTTTGCTCGTCGTTCCCGTTTGCTCCCGGCTCCCGCCCCTCTTGGTTTTCGTTTTCCTTGTGCTGGCCCTGGCCGCGGGGGTCCCTGTCCCGTCTCCGCCTGGGCTCCTGTCTTTTTCGGCCTCTTCTGGCTGTCCCCTTCCCTTTCGGTCGTCCTCTTCCCTTTCCGTTGGCCCTGCCGTCCGCTGTTTGGGGCCGTCTCCGCGCTCCCGGGTCCTCCCTCCTCTCCCGGGCGGCCCCTTTGCGCCGCGTTCTCTTCCTCTTCCTGGGTGGCTCCGCGCTTTCTTCTGGGCCCCGGCCTCCCCGGTCCTTCCGTCTTCTGGTTCTTCCTTCTCTGCCTCCGGTCTTTTTTTCTTCGGTGCTCCTTTTGTCTGGGCTTTTCGTTTCCTGTTTCTCTTCCGTGGCCGTGGTTCTTGGCCCGCCCTTCTTGCCTCCCTCGTTTGGGCTCCTCCTCCCTTCCCCGTTGCTCCTGCTCCTCCGCCCCGCGCCTTGCGCCTTGTCCCCGGGCGTGCTGTCGGCGTCCCCCCTTCCCTTCTGGGTGGCCTTGCCCCCCCCTGGGCCTTCTTCTTCGCCCGCCTTCTTGCCGTCGGCTCCTGGCTCGGCGGCTTTGCCCGGCCTTCTGGCCTTCCGCTTTCCCCGGTTTCGCCCCGGCTTCGCTCCGGCCCCCCCTCCTCGTCGTCTTTGGTTTGGTCTTGCTCCCGCCCCTGCCTTCGCGCGTCCTGCTGCTCTTCCTGCGGCCCGTCTTTCTCCGCCTCTTTTTGCTTCGCCCTTCGGTCCCTTCGCCCTCCTTTTTCTGTGGCCTTCCGGCCCTCTGTTTCCTGTCGCTTGGCCCGGCCCTTTTGCGTCGTGGGTCCCGGCCCCTTTCCCTGTCCGCCCTCTTGCTCCTGCCCTTTGGGCTCCTCCTTTTGGTCCCCCGGCCGTGGCCGCTTTTCCTCGCGGGGGTGCTCTCGGCCCGGTGCCTCTCGCTTCTTCTGGTGTTTCTCCGTGGTGGTCTCCCCTCGGTTTCCGCCCTCCTGCCGCTCTTTCTCCTGGCGCTCTTTTTCTCTTCTTTCTTTCTGCCCTCTCCTTCCTCGCCGGTTGGTTCCCCCTCCCCCCGCCGTGGCCCCCGCGCGTTTCGTGGTTCCCCCTGCCGCCTCCCGGCTGCCTCCTCCTTTGTCCGGCCTCTTTGGCGTCCGTTCCTTGGCTTGGCCCGGGCCTTTCGTCCCTGTTGCTCTTCCTGCCTCCCGCGGGGCGTCCGTTCGCTGGCCTCCTTTCTTCGCCGTCTTCCCGCCCCCTCCCGGCTTCGGCCCCCTTTTTCCCGGTCCGTGGCCTCTTTCTGCTCCCCCCCCGCTTCCCGTCGTCCTTTCTTTGGGCCCTCCCCGGCGCCGGCCCTGCCCTTCTCCCGCTTCTCGGGGCTTTCCTCCCCCCCCGCCCCGTTTCTGGCTGCCCGGCTCTTGCCCCCCCTCCTTTCGCTCTTCCCTTTCTTTTTCTCGTTGCTGGTCCTCTGTCTCGCCCCCCTTTCGGGCTTGGGCCCCGTCTGCCCGCTCTTTTCGCTGCCCCTCTTCCTCCGGGCGGCCGCCTCGGTCGTGGGCCTCCGGGTCTTTCTGCCCCCCTCCCTCCTTCGCTTCCTTTTCCCTTCGGCCTTGCTCTCGCTTCTTTCGGGTTCTTCCTTCCTTGGTCGCTCCCCCCTGTCCTCTTTCCCTGCTTCTGCCTTCCTCGCCCCCGCCTTTCCTCCTCCCGCTGCCTTCTCTCCCCCTCCCCCGTCTCTCGCCGGCTTCCTCCTGCCCGGCGCTTTTGCTCCTGGCGCTCTCTTTTTCCTTCGCGCTTCCCCTCCGGCGCCCCCTGCCGCTCCTGTCTTGGCCCGCCTGTTCGCTCCTCCCGCCGCTCTCCTCTCTCCTTTCCGTTGGGCTCGTCTCTTTTTGGCTTCCCTCCCTTGGGCCTTTCTGTTCCTCCTGCTGTCCTGCTTGCCTTTGGTCCCCCGGCGCCGCCCCTCTTGCTCGCCCCTCTCTTTGCTCCCTGGCTCCCTCCGCTCCTGGTCCCCTTCCTCTGGGTTCGCTGTCCTTTTGTCTTCCCCGCGCGGGCCGGCCTTCCCTGCGGGCCGCCGCCTCTGGTTGCCGGGTTGGTTCCCTGCTGTTCCTGCCCCCGTCCTTCCTTCTTCTTCCCCTCGGCCCCGGCGCCTTTTTGGTTCCTCCTGCTCTTGCTCTGGGTTTCCCTCCCCTCCCTTGCTCTTCGTCCCCGGTGCTTTCGCTGCCCGTGGTTCCCCGTTCCTGCCCGCTCCCCGGCTTTTGGTTCTCGTTTTCCGTGTGCTGGCCCCGGCCGCGGCGGTCCTTGTGCTCTTTCGGCCTGGGCCGCCTTTTCTTTGGCCGTTTTTTGGCTGTTCCCTCCTCTTGGCTGGGTTCCTTTTTCTTGGCCTTGGCCCCCCTCCCCTTCTGGCCGGGTCCCGTTTCCCCGTTTCCTGCTCTTCCCCTTCTTTGCTGGGCTGGTTCCGCGCTTCTTTCTGGTTCCCCTCTTCCCCCCTTCTCCCTGGCTCTCCCCCTTTTGGTCTGCCTCGTTTCTCGGTCTGGGCCTGGCTGTTCTTCTTTGGCCCTCTTGTTTGGGCTCCTGGCTTTCTGTTCTTCCTTTCTTGGCGTGGCTCTTGGCCGGCCTTGCTTGCCCCTTTCGCCTGGGCTCCCGCCCGCCCCCCTTTGGCGCCTTTGCTTCGCTGGCGCGCTCCCCCGTGGCCCTTTCTCTTGTGCCCGCCCGCTTCGTTGGCTTCGCCCCCTTTTCTGTCGGTTCTCTCTTCCCTTCTGCTGCTTTCTTCCTTGCCTCTCCCTCGGGTCCTTTGGTTCCTTTTCCTGTGTTGTCTCCGCGCTCCTCTCCTTTCTTTCGCCGGCGGGGGGCTCCCCCTTTTTCTCTTTCTCCCTCTCGGCTTCGCCTTGTCTTCTGGCTCCGCTCTTCCTCGGCCCTCCCCCCTTCTGGCCCGGCCCGTTTGCTTCCGCGGGCGCCGCCCCGGCCCCCTTGGCCCTGCCTCTCCTTTGCTTCGTCGCTCCTCCCCCCGCCCTCCGCCCCGTTGCTTTGTTGCGTGCCCCCTGGGCCTTTTCTGGCCCGTTCCCCTCCCCCCCGCGGCCTCGTGCCCCTCCCCGCCTTCCTCGCCGTTGTTTTTTGCCCGGCCGGCCGCGCGCTCCCTCTCGCGCCTTTGGCCTCTCCGGCCCCCTCCTTCGTGCCCTGGTTCCCGCCTGCCTCTTGCCCGGCGCCCCCCGCTCGCGTTGGTCCGGCTTCCCGCTTCCTTTCTCTGGTCGCTGCTCCTCGCGGCCCTTTCCCTTTCTGTCTCCCTGGGTTCTTCTCTTTGTCCCGCTCCGGTCGGGGGCGCCTTCCCCCCTTGTTTCTCTCTTCGTTTTCTGTTTTTCTCTTCCGCGCGGGGTCGCGCCGTTTGGTCGCTCGCCCGGCTCCTCCCCTTGCGGTCCCGGGTTCCCCTCCTGTCTCCGCCCCCTCGTGTTTTGCCCCCCCTTTGCGGTTTGCCTCCTTTCCCTCGTCCTGCCTCCCCCCCGTTTTGGGGGTTGGCCGGCCGGGCGGGGGCGGCCTCGCCTCCCTCCCCTCGCCCGCCCCCGGCTCCCCCTTGGCCCTGCCCCTCTTCCTCCTCCCTCTTCCTCCTCTTCCTTCTTCTTTTTTTTTTCTTCTTCCCCCGCTTCTCCCCCTGCCCCTCGCTTCCTCTCTTCCTCTCTCGCTCTCTCGCTTCCTTTCTCTTGCTCTTGTGCGGCTCGCGGGCCTCGCCCCCGCCTCTTCTCCTTGGCCCGCGCCCTTTTCCCCTTCGCCCCTCTCCGCCCTTTTTTCGTTCTTGCCCCCTGTCCCTCCTCTGTCCCCCCTCTCTGCTCTCTCCCCGGCTCCTCTTTGTGCCGTGCCGGCCCCCCGCCTCTCTTCCGGCCGCTGCCCCTTTCTTTTTTCCTTCCCGCCGTTTGCCCCCCTTTTCTTTTTTTTTGGTTTTCTTGCTTTGCCCTTTCTTTGGCTTTTTTTGCGGGCGCCTTCGCTGCCTCTGCCTTTTGCCTGTGTCTCCCCCCGAGCCCCCTTCGGGGGGGTCTTTTGCGTTTGGGCCGCCTCGGGTCCCGCGCTGCGCCGACCTTCCGTCTCCCGCCCCCGCCCGCCTCCTCCCCTCCCTCCTGCTGTCCGCCCTCCCCCCTTTTTGTTCCTTGCCCCCCCTCCGGCGCCGCCCCTCCCCCGGGTCCCTCTCCCCTCCGCTTGCTGCCGTCACCCTTCCTGCCCCCCCGCCCTTGGCCCGCCCGCGTCCTGTTTTCCTCCTCCCCCTCCCCCCCCTGCCCTCTCCCTTTGCTCCCCTCTCTGCCGCCCCCCCTTGCCTTCTCTGTCCTCTCCCTCTCCTCGCGGGCTTTTCCTTTCTCCTGCCTCCCCTTCCTTCTCTCTGCCTTTGTTCCTCCCCTCGGGTCGGGGCCCTTTCCTTTTTTTCTTCCCCTGCCTGCTCGTCCTCTCCTCCCGCCGCTCGCCCCCGTGCGCTCCGCGCTCTTTCTCCCGCTCGTGGGGTGGGGTCTTGCCCCCCTCCTTGGCCCTGTCTCTTCGGCGGCTCCCTCCCCTGCTCTATTCGGCGTCGCTGGCTGCGTGTTGCTCGCCCCGGTCTTGCCCGGCGGTCTCGTTTTGCCCCCCCTCTCGCGGGTTGCCTCCCTCTCCCTCTGTCCTTTTTTTGTTTTTTTTGGGGCTCCTTGCCTTCGCCTTGTTTCTTTCTGGGTTTTGCCGCGCCCTGGTCCCTCCCCTGCTCTTTTTTCTGGCTCGCCTCTCCCCCCTCGCCCGCCCCGCCCCCGCGCTTGCCTCTCCCTCCCCTCCCCTGCGTTGCCCGCCGCCCCCCCCGGCCTTCCGCCGCTTCTCCTCTCGCTGCTTCCTATTCTCTCTGCTTGCCCTTCTCGCGGTTTTTCTTCCTCCTTCCCGCCTTGGCTCTCTCGTCTCTCTCCTTCCGCGGGGTCCTGGCCCGCCCGGTTCCCCCTCCCGCTCCCTCTCCTTTTTCCCCTGCCAGCTGGCCGCGTGCCGCGCCCTTCCCGCCGTGCCCCCCCTGGCCCGGTCCGCCGCCCCGCCTCTCGCCCCCCTGCGCGTCGGGCCCCCCCCTTCTCGCGCGCCCTCCTTGCACTGCCTTCCTTCGGTCGCTCCCCCCCCCCCGGCTTCCGCCCCTCCGCGGGCCTGCGTCCTCTCTTCTGACCGCCCCCGTTACCTGCCGGTTGTCTTCTTTTTTCCCCTCCTCCCCTCATCCCCCCTTATGCCCCGTTCGCGGCTGCTCCCCGGCGCCCGCCCGCTCCCCCCAGCGCCTCGTTTCTGCGCTGCCCCCACTGCACTTCTCCGGTCGGGGCCCGCCTTCGCTTTTCCCTCCCCCCGTCGGGCTTGCGCGGCATCCCCCGTTTCGCTCCCGCCCGTTGGTACATCTCCCTCGCCGTCCCTGCTTGCGCTTGCGCCGCTTCTGGTCCGTCGGTCCGTCCCTCCCTCGGCTCCGCGGTCTTCTTGCCCCCGCCCACCACCCGCGTGCCCCCCTGCCGCTCCCCCCCCTAATTCCATCCCCGCCCGCCGTCCCCCTCCCTGCGGCGTCGCGCCCCTGCCCCGGGCTTGGTTCCGCTTCTCCCGCTTCCCCCGTCTCCCCTGGCCGCCTCCCCCTCGCCTGTCCTCCCCTCTCTTCTCCTCCGTCCCACCTCCCACCCCCCTTACTCCCCCCCCGGCGCTTTTCGCTCCCTCCCCCCTCTCTCGCTTGGCCTCCGGGGTCCCGTTGGTCCTTTTCTTCCCTCATCCCCCCTCCTGGGCCCCGGTCTCCTCACCCCTCCCCCCTCCGGGCCCTTGCACCCGCCGCCCCGCCGCCTCGCCCTCCCCCGCTCCGTGCATCCCTCCCCCTTGTGAGTCCATTCTTTCTCTCTTTCCTCCCTCCCCACCTGGCCACGCTCTTCCCGCGTACATCCGGTCGCCCGCGCGCCTGCATCCCTCCCGCCCCGCCCCCTCCTGCCGCGGCCCTTCACTGCCGTGACTCCGGCTCCCCCGTCGGGCCGGTGTCTCGCCCTTCAGCCTCCCGGCCCTCCCCCCCCACGCTCGCTCGTCGCTCGGTGGGACGTCCCTTCCTCCCTTGTTCCTCCCTCGGCTATCTCTGGTCGGCACCCCTGCGCCCCTTCCCCTCGCTTCCTATGCTCCGGCCCCGCCTACTCTTCCTCCCGCCATGGCTCCCCTGCAGGCCCCTCGTCGTTTCCCGCTCACATTGCTCCGTCGGGCCATTCCCGGCCCCCCCCGCGCCCCCGTGGTTTCTTGTCCGCACCCGCTCCGGCTCCCGTTCCCTTCCCGCGGTTTCCCCCGTGAGTCGCCCCTCTCTCCGGGCCTCTACCGGTTTCCTGCGCCTGCTCTTGACGGCAGCCATCCCCGCCCGCCCTTCGTTCTCAGCGCCTCTTTTTGGTGTCGCCCGTTTCCCCTTCACGGACTCATTCCGCTGCCCGCCTTCTTGACGCCCCGCCGTCCTCGGCCGTCGGTTCGGGCCCGCACGCCTCCTCCCCGCGCCCTCCTCCTCCCCGGGTTCTGGTCACCCCTCCTCAAAAAAAAAAAAACCAACTACGCCCTGTCCGCCCACGTTTCTTGGCCCCGCCCCCCCCACGCTTTGGGCGCCCCCCGCGGCTTCGCCCGTACCGCCTATGCCTCGTTCTATCCGCATTGCGTTGGTTCCCCGGAGCAAGAGCCTGCCTGTCTTTGCCGCCCCTCCCCCAGTCTTGCCCCTCCGTCTTTCTCCGGTCGCCCCTGCCCGCGCCCTCGCCAGGCCAGCAGCCCCCTCCCCCGGCCCCTCACCCTCCTCTCACCTGGGTTCCCTGTCGCCTTCTGCCCCACTTGGCCCCAGCGGCTGCCATGCCCGATCTCATGCTCCCCGCCCCACCTCGGCGCCCCGCCCCCCCGACCTGCCGCATCGCGCTACCCCCCGCCTCCGCCCCCCCCGCCCTTGGCCCCGCGCCTGCGCTGGCCTTCTCCGGCCGCCCTTGCCCCCGCTCGCGCCACGCTCGCCTATGCCGTCCCCTGCCCCCTTCGTACCGCCGCGCCCGTGGCGGCCCCCTCACGTCCCCCGCCCCCGCCTCCTTGCCCCCCCGAGTCCCTCTCCTTGTGCTTCCGCACCCCCTCGTCCACCCCCACGCCTGTGGCTCCCTCTCCCGGAGTCGCCCCTGCGGCACCGTTCTGTCGCACTGCCCCCTCCCCTCGGCCCACGCCCCTCCCTGGGTCTCCCCTGCCGTTCGCCCGGTTCCCCGTGCCACCCCTCCTCCGCAGCCACTCAGGCCCGCCCGCGCCTCGCCCGCGTCCACCCCTCCCCGCCCCGGTCCTCCGTCCCCCTCCTCCTCGTCTCCCCTCCCTCCTTTCGGTCTTTGTCCCCTTGCCGCCCGGGCTCTCGTCCTCGTGCTCCTCCTACTTCCCCTCCTTCGACACCGGTTTCCCGAGCCCGGCTCCTACCCTTTTCGGGCCCATCGCCGCCGCATTCGCTCCTATTTCGGTCTGCTTTCTCTTGCCCCGTCCCTTCCCCTGTTTCGCCCTCCCCTCTTTTCGTGCTATGGGCGCCTCCCTGCCCTCGGTCCAATCCTGCCTCTCTCTGGCTTCTTCCTTCCCTTGGCTCTTCCCTTGCCCCTGTCCATTGTCTCTGCCTGCCACCTTCCTACCGCTCGCTGACCTTTTGCCACCCCTGTTCCCGGCCCCCCGCGCTCCCCCTCTCCCTCTCCTCTCCGCCGGCTCATCCGGCCCTCATTTCCTTCTTCTTCGGCCTCCTCTCTGTGCTTCGTTACTGCTCGTGTTCGTAGCGCTTCCGCACACTTCTTCACTTCCTTCTCTTCTCCTCTCTCTTCCTTCTCGCAGTCTGCCTTTCTTTTTTTCCTTTTCTTTCGTACTTCTTTCATTCTCTCCCCCTCTTCCTTCCTCTGCTCTCCCCTCCCCCCGCGTCCTCTCGTATCCGCGGCTTGCCAGCCCCGCTGCTTCCTCCCTCTTTTTGCTTTTTTCATGTTCGCACCCGCGGGCCTCCCCCCTTTTATCCTTTTCTTCCCCCTTCTCCCCTGCCCCACCCCTCGGCGCCTGGCCCCTCCCGTCGCCTTCTCGGCCTCGCTTCTCCGTCCCGACTGTCGCCCCCTCTACGCTGCCGCGCATCTCGACCCTTGTTTGGTCCATGCCGCCCCATCTGCTCCTCTCCACTCGCCCTCTCACTTCCACTCGCCTTCCTACTTGCTCCGTCCTCCCACGCCGCTCGGCCCTGGCTCTTTGGGTGGTGCCTTGCCGCCCCGTTTTTCTGTGGCGGCCCGGCCACTCCCCCTTTTTCCTCTCACTTTCTCTTCCGCCACTCTCGTCCTCTCGCCCCATCTGGTCCTTTCCTCGGGCTCTCCCCCTCTTGTGGCGATCCCCACGCCCTGCCCTTGCCACCTCCTGTTCCCCTTTCCTCTCTCCTCATCCTTTGCCTACTCACGCTCGTGGCTGCGCGTCCTCATTCCCATGGGTCACGGTCCCTCTCCTTTTTCTTTGGCTTGATTTCTCCCTTTCCACTGGCTTTGGTTGGTCCTCCTGCCCATCGGCCTCTTTGCTGACTTCCGCCGTTCCTTTCTCCTTCTTCGGCCTTTCCTTTTTTTAATCTACCTTTCATTTCTTCCCCCCCTGTCCTCTTTCTGCCACCCTCCTCCCTCCTTCGTCTCCGGCTCCACCTCTCTCCGGTTCGTTCTTTTTCCCCTCCCTCCGCCTGGCTTTTTCTCCCGCCCTTCTCGGCTTTTGCCCCGCTGCCTTCCCCTCCCCTGCGTTCTCTCGCCCTGCGTTCCCCGGCCTCTTCCCTGCCTTTTCACTCTCTGTCCGCTCCCATTCTCTCTCCTGTACCCTCTCTCTCTGTCCCTCTCTATGACCTTCGTCCACTGCCGTCGCCCCGTCCGGCCACGTCTTGCTCCTCAACTCCCCTGGGTTTCTCTCGTCGTCTCGGGTCCCTGTCCGGCCTGGCTTGGTCCCACTCCTGCCTCGCTTGTACTTTTCTTTCGTGCCTTGCTCGCTCGCCCGCCCGCCCCCCTGCCTTGCTATGTGCCCTCTCCCATATCCCTCTCCCTCCCCCTATTGCCCGCCCTTTCCACGCGCTGCCGCGCATTTCTTTCTACCGCGCCTCCTTCTTTGCCGCCCCCCGCCTTTCCACTCCCTTCCTTGCTTCCGTTACCTCCTTTCTTGTTTCGGTCTTGGGTTGGGGCGGCCGGTCGCGCTCCCGCTCTTTCGTCTTCCCCACGACCGTCCTCCCTCCCGCGCCCTCCCTCGCCTTGCCCTCGTTATTTCTTGCCTCTCTCTTTATTCTGCCCCCCCCCTTCCTCCCGCCCCCCGCCCCTCTTACCGTCTTTTTTTTTTCTTTCCGCCCATTTCATCAGCCACAGCGCACCCACTCCTCGCCTATTCGCACTGGTCATTCCTGACCCGCTTCTAGCCATCCCCCATCACCCCGTTCCTCTCCCCTTCTGCCGTGCGCCACAGCTCCGTCCGCTCTCCATCGAATCTTCCCTTCTCTTGCCCCTTATCACCCCCCTATTCCTCACTCTCCTCATCGTGATGCGGGCGGTTGGCACCCGCCGGCACCCCCTCGTCTCGTGGTTACGGCCCTCTATCTGCTTCCAGCGCCGGCCGCGGGGGCATATCGCCTTCCACACTGGGGAGTCGAGGTCCTCTGCCCCCGTTTTCCTGGCTTCCCCCTTTCCCATTTGCTTCTCCTGGGTGCGCTGGCCCTGCGTGTTCACTGGGCGACGGCTGTCCCTTCGTTGGCCCATTGCCTCCGCTGTGTCCCCTCCCGCTCGCCATCCTCATTCGCCCCTCCCCCCTCCGCTGCTCGCCCCCCATTGTCCTATCGCCGACGACCTGCTACTCCGTCCGATCCCACACGCCTCCCCATTTCCTGCTCAGCTCCCTCTTTCCCTGGCTTGTCGTTGCCCTTGACCGCGCACCGCCCCTGTCCCCGGCGCCGCTGCGGGTTCGCGCCCAGTCCCGTCCGCAGCCGGCTCCCTCCCTCCATCCCTCCCTCGCTCTCCCCGTTTTCTCCTTTCTGCGGCGGCTGGCACGCCTTTCCTTGTCCCCGCCGGGGGCTCCTTTTTGCTTTCTTTTTTTTTTTCCCTTTTCCTACCGGTCCCACTCGCAGCCGCCCCCCTCCCCCCCCCCGTACGTGCCTTTGCTGCCCTTTTGTTTGACTTGTTTATCTGCGTCTCCATCTTTCCCCACCTTCTTTGTCTTCCCACACCCTCCCCGTCCCCTGTCGCCGCCCCTGCTTTCTATTTTCTTCCTTTTCGCTTATTCCTTGTTTGTTTCGGTTTGTACCCTCTAGTGACCTGGTGGCGGGCCTTTGCTGCTCCTTCTCCAGCTGTTTGCCCCGCAAGCCTTGGGTCGCTTACGAGCCCCCCGCCCACCCCCCCGCGCTGCCGGCCAGTTTTGGCTTGGGTCCGTCCTCCCGGCCCGATTGGATTGGTACCTGGCCCACCCCTTCCTACTGTTCTACCTTCCTTCTCGCTGCCGCCTTTCTTTGCATCGCATCGCTCTTTATGTTCTTACCTGCTCTTGATCCTCTCCCTCTCCTCGCGCGTCATTTCCTTGCTTTCTTCCGCCACCGCTTTCTCTCTCTTCTGGCATTCCCTCCCGCGTTCTTAGCGCCGTCCCCCCCGCCCCGCTTCTGGCCGTCCCATATTCTTGCCTTTCTTGCTCCTTGCCCTCTTTCTTCTCGTTCTCCCGCCTTCTCCTCTCCTTTACGTCCCCTCCGTCCGTCCCTGCTTATGCCTGCCTTCCTTTATTTGCCTGCCCCTTGGCCTTCTGCGTTCTTCATCCCCCCTTGACTCCCCCTGCCCCTTCCCTTTTTCCGATCTTTCCCTGCCCTGCCCGGCTCGCACTCGCCATCTCCTCCTCGCTCGTCTGGTCCAGCCCGCCCTAGCGGCACATCTTTTTTTTCTCCCTCCTCTCTCTTCGGAGTTCTTCTCGTTCGCCCCCTCTCAGCCACCCCTGCCCCCACCGTCTCTCTCCTTCTCCCTCACCTCTCGCGGCTTCCATCGTCTGCCCTTCCCTCTCTTCTCTTCCTCCTCTCTGTGCCTCTCCCTTCCCTCGCTGGCGTGGCTCTCGCCCTCCTTCCCTTTCTTTTTGTTCTCTCTCTCGCTCCTTTGTTCCCTGCCTCTTGCTTCCCTTCTCCTGCCTTTTCTTCCTCTTCTCGTTCTCCTTCCATCGCTGTTTGCTGCTATTCCCTCCGCCTTTCGGTCATCATCCCCTACCCTCCTCTCCATTCTCCCTCCCGTCCACCCGGCCGGCTCTCGCCCTCTTCCTCCTCCCTCCCGTCGGAACTCTTTTATTTTTCGCGTCCACGCCGCCGGTCCTTTGCTTGCCCCGTTGCCCTCCCTTCCACGGGCGGCTTTCTATCGCCTTTCACCCGGCCGCGTCCTCTCTTTGCCTGCCGCCCTTGCTCTGCACTCCGTCGCGACTGGGCCCTCGCCTTGCCACCCCCCCTTCGCCAGCGTCTCTGTGCCCTCCTTGCCTCGTTTGACAGCTCTTCTTCTGCTCGTCTCTCGTTCGCACCTACCCCCGCCCTCTGTCTATCTTGTTTCTCCTCGCCCCGTGTGTTATCCACTTCCCCCCCTCCCTGCCTTCTTCTTTAGCCCGTCCGCGGGCCCCGCGGTACTGCCCGCTCCCCAGGTCTTCCTCCTCTCACTCGGTCCCGCCCGTTGCTTTCCTCCTCCCCTTTGGCTCGCAGCCTTCCGTGCCTCCCCCATTCCCCTCACCTTGTGCCTCGCTATTCTTGTCGACCTCCCCCCCTGGGCATACCTCTCCCTCTCTGTTTGCATTTGCCCGAGTCGCTTCTTCTCCTACCCTTCTTCCCGTCCCTCCCCCTGGCCTTTGCGCCGCTCTTTCCCTCTCTCCCCCCGTGTTGCCGCCCGCTCTCTCCCCCCTTGCTCCCGTTTGACTTCCTTCCCCGTGCCTTGCTTACGGCCGCCTGCTCCGTCCCCTTCTTCGCCCAGGCCCACTCCTCGTGCCCGGGCCCAATCCCGCCTCCCCTTCACGCCGCCCCCGCGCGCCTTTTCGTTGTCTCTCTATGCCCTGTGCCTATCTGTCCAACCTCCCTCTCTCTCCCTCTCCATCTGCGGCCTTGTTGCGCTTTTTCCTCACTCCTTATCCTACCACTCCTCTCCTCGTGGCGCACTCCTATCGCGCCGCGTCCCCCTCCCCCCGGGCTTGCTTGCCCGCACGCCTATCTTGCTCCCGCGCCCTCTCCTCCCTCCGCTCCACCTCCTCTCCTGTTTCTTCCTTTGGCCCTTCCCCCACGACCCCTCCGGCCTCCCCGCCCACGGGCCTGTTCCTCCTGGCCCCTGTCGGCCTCCGGCACTCCGTTCCGTCGCTCTATCTTTTTTTGTTAGCCCCTTCCTTTCTCTTTCCTCGCCCCCCGCCGCCCCCGCGCACCTCCCTCTCTCATTCCCTCTTGGCTCCTTCTCTTTGCTCTCCTACCGTCCCCCCGCCCCTCTCAGCTCTGTCCACGGCGGGCGCCCGTCTCTTCTTGCCTTGGGTTCGACGCCCCGCCATTGCTTCATTTTCGCGCATTTTCTCTCCACCGGTCCCCCCCCCCTCCCTTCTCCCTCCTCCCCTCTTGCTTGGCTGCTTGCGCCCTCCGCGCTTCTGTGCGTTACCCCGTCTCTTCCCTTCTCTCCTCCCGCCCTCTTCGTTGCCTTCGCTTTTTCTCAGGCTCTCCCCTTCGGCCCGTCCTTGCCCCTACCTCCGTCCTCGCATCGCCCCTTCGTCTATCCTTCGTAATTTTCGTCACGCCGGGCCTGCGTACTCTTGCTCTCTCCTCTCTCCTTCGCCTCTTTCTTTGCCCTCCCTCTGGCCCGATAGCTTGTCATACTTTCCCACCCTGCCCGCCCTATGTTTAGCCTCCACCCCGTCTCCGCCCCCCGTCCGCCCGTCCGTTTATCCTCTGCTTCTGCTCGGACTCTTGTTCTCTTCTTCCACTCGCGCCACCGCCGCGCCTTTCGCCGCGTTTTTGTTTGATTGCTCCGGCGCCCCCGGCTTTGCCCTGGGGCACCCAGGCATTTGCCGTCACTCGCCCATTCCCCCCTCGGCCATGATCGCCCTGCTCCCTCCCCTTTCCCGGTTCCTGGCACTTCTTCTTTTCTTGTCGCTTGGCTTGTTTTCCTTCCTTTTTGATCCCATACCCGCCCGCCCTTCTTTTCTTTCCCTTTTTGCGTGGCTTTGCCTTCCTATCTTTCGCCTTCCTTGTCTGGTCTCTCCCCTCCCCCCACCCCTTATTCTCTCCCTTTTTCTCTTGCCCCGCCCTGTGATCTTTTCAGTCGCCCCCGCCACCCTTGCTGCCCCTTGGCCCCCTTCCGCCATCTGCCTGCGCCTGCCCGCCCCGTTCTTGCTTTGCCCCTCCCCTCCGTGTTTTCCATCCTCCCCACCCCCCTCCCACTTGCGCGCGCCCTTCCTTTGCTATTTTTTTTTGCCTCCACCCCAGCCTTATCCCTTTCCCTTCTCCCCCCCTTTCGGCGTCTACTGTCCCGCGCTGGCCCACCCCACTCGCCTTTTTACCCCCGCTCTCTCTTATTTCTCTTCCTTCTTCGCTGTTCGCCTATCCCGGTACCGCTCGCACGGGTCTCCGCTCTCCGCACCTTCTCCTCACTGCACTTTTCCTTTTGCTTGACGAACCCATTTCCCTTTTGTTTTTGATCGCCCCCCCCCCTGTGCTGCCCCGCCTCGCCCGGCCAGCCCTCCCCGCGCCGCCTCTAGCGCATTTTCCCTTCCCCCAGTGTTTACTTTCTACACTCCCCATCCCTCCCCCCTCCATGTTTCTTCTACCCCTTCCCCCTCCTCTGCCTCATTCTCCTCCCACACCTCCCTTTGCGTCCCCCTCTCTTCTCTTCTGCTGGCGCCATACCTTTTTGCCAACTCACAGTCCATCCAATCCCTTCACGGGGGTTCACATTGTTCTCACCCACATTCTCTCTCTCTTGTCTCTGCTTCATTCTGTACTTTTCTATCTACGGCGACCACTGCCCCTGTCGCCTACTCTTTCCTTTTTCTGCTCTTCCAGCCGCTTGCACCTTTCCTTATCCTCCTCTTTCATACTGTGGGCCCTGCTCCTTTTGTTTTGCGCCTTCTCTCCCCCCCTACTCTTCTATCCTCATGCATACGAGTGTTACTCCGCCGCCGCACTTCTAGTTTCTCAGGCCTGTTTTATCACTTGCTTTCCGCCTTTGTCTCTGGTGCAAACTTCCCCTCTTGCCGTAGACACTGCTCTTTACTTCCTCGCTTCACTCCCGCTTTCCTACTAGTCGTCCAGCTAATGGAATAGAGTTTGGGTAAACATTTCACAATGTGCTTCGGTCCACACACTAGCAATATCCCTCCTTGCTAGCATCACTCTCTTTACTCGCTGCAGCCATGCACTCCCGGGTAGGGGTTTTTGATCCCTGGGCAATTCCCCACCCTGTTTGGCGATGGCCGGGGGGAGGCTGACTACCATACCACGAGGATTCATCACATCCAATTTGAAGGATTTTGTAGGATTCATTGATCAAGGTTTGACGGAAGAACTTTCCTAAGTTTCCCAAAATTGAAGATATAGATCAAGAAATTGAATTTCAATATTTGTGGAAACATATCAAATTGTAGAACGCCTTGATAAAAGGAAAGAGATGCTGTGTATGACTCACTGCACATATTCTTACTGAATTGATATGTATCAGCGAGATAATTGGAAAACAGTGAGGGATATGCAAGAACAAACAATTTTATTGAAGCATTCACTCTATGATTCAAAGGGAAGCTTCCATATAAGTAAATGGAATATAAGAATTG